TTGGTATTCAATCAGGATTTTAAACAAAAGAAAAATAATCTCATGGTATTCAAAAATCTAACGATTTTAATGAATTTTTCACTATTGTGAAACCCGGCCCGACCCAACTGGGTTGACCCGAAATCCAGAGAACCGGTCATTGGACCATTTTGGGTTAAACATTAGACCGATCATACATCAGACCCAGTCAAAACCAGGCCAAACCGGGTCAAATCGATGACCCGGTCGGGTCATGGATTTTATCAAAAAAAAACCAAAACACCAAAATTGTTTCATCTTGTCAAAAAAAAAAATTGTAGAACTCATTTTAAAAACTTTTTGTACTTTTATTTGTTAGTATACTCTTCTACAATGACATCAAATTTCAGCTTCCAATACTAAAGCAATTTGCGGAACAATAAATTAAGAGAATGTGACATATATCATTTCAGTATGATGAATTTGAAAAATATGAATTTAATATTATTGAGAGGTATGCTTATGAGGATTCTTAGTAGCAATTTAAATTTACATAGTAATAGCGTGCATTTTCATTTATTTGTGCTTCATGATCTTGTAAAAGTGTGATTGGGTAATTTTTGAGCTTATTTAATGAACCTTGTTTAACTCATTTTAGATATGGAGAATATAATCAAATTTATATGTTCATATTTACTATATATATTTATCTATATCCGAGTCAACAAGTCTGACCAACGACCCACCGATCCGATTAGTGATCCAGTACCCCGACTCTGGGACGATGCCGGGGTCGGGTTTAATAACACTAGGATTTTTTATTGGTGTGAATTTCGTAAGACTTTTTAGTGAGAAATATAAATAGGATGCCCTTTCACAATCTTACCATGACTTCTAGGATTTCTTGAGATTTCTCTATTGCAGTGTCTTCTTCTTCCTTTGGCGGGTTGACTCGCTCGAAAACGGGGTCCATCATAAGAGCTTCGTCAAAGCTCAAAAATAGAAGAATTTTGAGTGATTTTCATCACAAAACAACCTAGAAACAACAACCCAACAAAATTCTAATATAATCTATTTTAAAAATAGCATATTTTTGAGCGACTTTTTAGAGCTTTTGGAAGTTTAAAAAATAATTTTTCAAGCTATGAATCACGATTTTTCTTGGCATAAAAATGTGTGATTTTTGTATTACAAACAACACAAAATAGAAAAAATAACAGGAGAACTAAAACCCTCAAACCAATTTTTATTTACATCAATGAAACAATATCAATTTAAAGAAAGACTGAATCTTTCATAACATGCTATATTTCGTAATAATACATTCACGAACAAATTTCTTTGGCTATAGGAAACGATTTCAAACAATTTTTGTGTTAATAGATAATTACAAATTTATTTTTCAAAAGCTCAAAGCAATTTAAGGTTTTAACGTATCGATTGAAAATAATTTGAGAAATTTTCTAAACTTTCATATAATAAAACCTAAAAATTCAGATTCAAAATTTTCTTAAAATTATACTTAATGAAAACATACATATGATATATGGTTTAAAAACTCTCATCACGTAAAACAAAAACCCCAAGGTTTTCAAGTCAATTGCAAAAAATTCCAAACGAAATTTTATCATGAACTTTAGGTTCTATATCCAAATTTAGAATTATTTTAAAAAATAAAAAACTGAGTCTTATAATCATATATGCATAGCTCTGATACCAAATGAGAAGATAATTTTCAACCCATTGGTCAAACTCAAGAGTAAAAACGAGAAAATATTAATGGGTAAAGGACTAGTATAGCTTTAAATATGTGGATAGCTGTTACTTGATAATTTTGAATGTTTGTTAAAAAATATATTATATTTTACTGATTGAGAAAATTATATTAGGTTTTACTTTTTTATTAATATTATTACATCTCTTTGTTATTTTTTATTAACTCTGTTAATTTTAAATGTTTGTTAAAAACTCATATGATTTTTAAAATCTTATAAATTCATATTATCTTTTCAAATCTTATAAATTCTATTAAATACTTTAAAATCCAATTTTTTAAAATTTTGAACTTAAAAGAGTCTTTTAAATTTTTTTTAAAGTCCTTCTAATTCTAAATAATCTTTAAAATCTATAAAAAAAAATTATCTTAAAATTTCAAAATAAAATCCTAATCCAATACCTCCTCTTAATATAAAAATGAAAAAAAAGACTACACGCACTTGAGCTTGGTGGAAGCTATATCCATGTAAGCCAAAAACAAAAATGCAATAGCCTACCTCAAGTGTACCCTATTTTCCTAGGGTTTAAGTTTTCTTATGTTGTAGGATTGTAGGAGATAAAAAAAGTAGAGAAAAGTTAAATGTGGGTCCCATATTTTATATTAAAAAAGAAAAGAAAAATTAGTTGGCACGAAAAACGAATTAGTGTAGGAAAATGATGTACTCTTATGTAGCATAAGAATATTATTTCCCTTTTCCTAGTGCATACCTCCTTGTCTTATAAACTTCTTTTCAACCCAATCCTCCCTGTTCTCTCTTCCCGGTGGCTGGTGCATCCCTCCTTGTCTATGTATCTTTCCTCTACTTTCCTGAACTTTTTTCTTCTCCACTCTCTTTCTTGGAAGTGGATTGCACTGAGAATCAAGACAAAATCAGAGGCCGAACATGAGTTCAGGCGATGTTTGATAGAGAAAAAAAAATTTTATTCAAAAATCATGATTTCAAAAAAAAATGAGTTTTTTTATCAAAAAAACTATTTAGTAAGTAAAAAATAATATTAAAAATATTGGATAAATTTTTTGATTTTTGTCAGCTTTTTAACCTATTTTTTTTAATTTTTCCAGCAATTCAAAAATATTATCCTCTAAGTGGTATTTTTGGATGAAATTTTATTCATAGTCTACAGACAAAATTGATTCCCATGTAAATCACTTTTCCATATAAATTTTCTAAAATATGATATGAAATATGGTCTTCACGAAAATTCAACCTTATTTTCTTAAATATCTAAAAAAAATCCTCATGCCAAACACCCTGTAAAAAATGAAAACATGAAAAATGAGAGCAGAACTACCTGATGGAAAGAGAGTGAAACTAGAGGTAGGGAGGGAGTGCGAGTGGTACTACCTAATGGATGAGCCGTTGTCTAATTGTCTTTCTCTTCATGCATGTCACTAGATTAGTCACATCCAGATGCTTTATAATTTTTTCCTTGTGCCAAATATTTTTTTTAATAAATGTTTTTTTTGTCCTTAGCAAATCTTATAATTAGAGATGTTAACAAGCCGAGGCGAAGTGAGCTTTGATCTTAAAAAGTTAAACATGTGTTTAAATATGTCGGCCTTACCAAGCCTGTTACTTATTATAAATATAATTATCGGCTTGTGGCCTGCCTCATGATTTAACCTGTTTAACAAAAATAAGACAACAAAAATTTATCCAAATAGAATATAAAATCAACAACACTACTAATTCCATAAATATTCAAAATTCAATGTATATCCAAACAGCATAATATAGAACAAAATCATTCATTCCATAAATATTCAAAAATTCAATGTATATCCAAACAGCATAATATAAAACAAAATCATTCAAAAAAGTCTATTTAACTAATAAAATAAGGTGAAATGGATTGAGGAGAGAGAGAGAGCTATTACAAATAGTATAAAAAATATAAATAAATAAAAATTAATATACTAGGTCAGGCTGAGAGGCTCACCGAACTTTTGAATTGGAGCCTGAGGTCTTTTACTAAACGAGCTTTTATACAAATCCAAGTCTGATTCCAACAATCAATATTAGGCATGTAAGCTCTGGCCTTCATGAGCCGAGCCAAAGGCCCCTGCCTTGTTTGTCACCCCTATTTATGATGCCTGTTTTAGTCTCTAACAAATAAAAAAGCTATTCGTGATCCCTAAGAAATTCAAAGTGAATTCATTTTAATCTTTTTGAGGGACTAATATAAGTCTTTTTTGAATTTATGAGGATCACTTTCAATTAAATGAGTCCATTTTAAATTTATTAGGAACCACGAATAGCCTTTTTATTTATCAGGAACTAATGCAAATATCGTAAAATTTCATGAGGATCAAAAAAGATATTTACTCTATTTTTTTTCCTACAAATTTTAAGAGATGACCCACCCTAAAGTTTCGCCTTGACATCGTCAAAAATGTAATGACACAATAAAGTTTATTGCTTGAGCTAGATGTACATCGAGTTTGGTTTCTCTATGTCTGGCTCTAGTTTTCCATCCTTCACTCCCCTACCTTCATTTGCTGTCGCACTTTGATAGCAGAATACACACTTTAAAATCATGGGCGGCAAAAAAAAATAAAAAATTAGATTTGAAATGAAAAAGAGAGAAGTTATACTGAGTATCTATTTTTCTTATTACGTCTTGTTACTATAATTGTTGATTTTTGTCAATCAAATTGTTATAATTTATTAAAAATTAAAAATTTAATATATATGACTCAATAAATTATAACCGTTAGATTGACGAAATTCAATGGTTAAAATTTAATAGTAAGAAGTAATAAAAAAAAGATAGTAACTATAACCTCCTCTAAAAAAATAATCATGTAATTATATTATTTGATTACAACCATCATAATATATATATATATATATATAATTTTTAAATAAATAATTATGATCACGTAACAATAACATTTGTTGACGTTAGAGAATCCAAATTCTAAATAATTACTTGCAAAATAACATTGCGGTCCAAAGATACTTGAGTGAGTACTGGTGGGGTTGGCGTGGTGGGCATGAATGCAACACAAAAAATCAAAGATCAGAGATTCAGAAGTGATCACGTGAGCCACAAAATAACAAGCGGTGGGCAAAAGTACCAAAATATCAACTTTATTTCAATTTTTCTATGTTTACTATTTAATCCCGACAAAAACCTATGTAGAAGTTAACAAGACAAGGGCAATAAGGTAAATAAAAACAAGTCCCATTCCTCTTCATGATTTCATTAACACCTTAGCCTCCAACGATCAGAGTTAACACAACAACCTCTTTTGTTCAATAATGGCAGCCACCGCTTCAAAAATCCCTTTCTCTTCATCTTCTTCATACTCCACTCTTCCAAAACGCAATGTCAGATTCACCCTCCCTCTTTCTCCTATTCTCAACAAATCCACTCGTCTCCGTTCCTTCCCCTTCCGAGTCTCATGCTCCCTCTCCGACCCATCCGCCGCCGCAGCCACCGCCGCTGTCGTAGAGTCTTTCGTTTCGCGGTTTCCCGCCGGCGAGCCCAGAAAGGGTGCGGACATCCTTGTTGAAGCCCTAGAGCGACAGGGAGTGACCAATGTCTTCGCATATCCCGGTGGCGCGTCAATGGAGATCCATCAAGCCCTCACGCGCTCACACACCATCCACAACACCCTCCCACGCCACGAACAGGGTGGGGTTTTCGCCGCCGAGGGCTACGCCCGCTCCTCCGGGCTCCCCGGCGTCTGCATTGCCACCTCCGGCCCCGGCGCCACCAACCTGGTTAGCGGCTTAGCCGATGCAATGATGGATAGTGTGCCTCTCATCGCCATTACAGGACAAGTCCCTCGCAGAATGATAGGCACTGATGCATTCCAAGAAACCCCTATTGTTGAGGTGACTAGATCCATCACTAAGCATAACTATCTTGTTCTTGATGTAGACGACATTCCTAGGGTTGTTAAAGAGGCATTTTTAATAGCAACTTCTGGAAGACCTGGACCTGTTCTCATTGATGTGCCTAAGGATGTTCAACAAGAGCTTGCTGTTCCTAATTGGGACCAACCCATTAAGCTTGCTGGGTACTTTTCTAGGCTGCCCAAGATTCCCAGTGAAGCCCTTTTGGAACAGACTGTGAGGTTGATATTGGAATCCAAGAAACCTGTTTTGTATGTTGGGGGTGGTTGTTTGAATTCGAGTGTTGAGTTGACGCGGTTTGTGGAGCTTACTGGTATTCCTGTGGCTAGTACTTTGATGGGTCTTGGGGCATACCCCTCTGCGGATCAACATTCACTTCAGATGTTGGGTATGCATGGTACTGTTTATGCTAACTATGCTGTTGATAAGAGTGATTTGTTGCTTGCATTTGGGGTCAGGTTTGATGACCGTGTCACTGGGAAGCTGGAGGCTTTTGCCAGTAGGGCTAAGATTGTTCATATAGATATTGATTCTGCTGAGATTGGGAAGAACAAGCAACCCCACGTGTCGGTTTGTGCGGATGTGAAGTTGGCCTTGGAAGGCATTAATCGGATTTTGGAGTGCAAGGGGATCAAGAGTAATCTTGATATTCAAGCTTGGAGGGAAGAGCTGAATGTGCAGAAAAAGAAATTCCCCTTGAGTTACAAGACATTTGAGGATGGTATTTCCCCTCAGTGTGCTATTCAGGTTCTTGATGAACTCACAGACGGAAATGCAATAATTAGTACTGGAGTTGGACAACACCAGATGTGGGCAGCTCAGTATTACAAGTATAAGAGACCTAGACAGTGGTTAACATCAGGGGGTCTTGGAGCTATGGGTTTTGGATTGCCTGCTGCTATTGGTGCTGCTGTTGCTAACCCTCATGCAATTGTAGTTGATATTGATGGAGATGGTAGTTTCATTATGAATGTACAAGAGCTAGCCACTATAAGAGTGGAGAATCTCCCCATCAAGATCTTGTTGTTGAATAATCAACACTTGGGCATGGTTGTTCAGTGGGAGGATCGATTCTACAAATCAAATAGAGGTCACACGTATCTAGGAGACCCATCTAATGCGACAGAGATTTTCCCAGACATGTTGAAGTTCGCAGATGCATGTGGGATACCAGCAGCTCGTGTGACAAAGAAGGAAGAACTTAGAGGAGCAATACAGAAAATGTTGGACACACCTGGGCCCTACCTTCTTGATGTTATTGTACCCCATCAGGAGCATGTCTTGCCAATGATTCCGAGTAATGGATCCTTCAAGGATGTGATAACTGAGGGTGATGGCAGAACTAGTTACTGATTGACTTGACCAAATTTTCCTTGATGGTTGTTTTGTACAATATATAATGTTATAGTCGCAGGATTTGACATGTGGTGAGATCCTAGTTTGGTAGCAAGACCATGTATTTTTCTTTTCTTCGATCAATGTCTATTGTCATCTTACTCTGCAGTATGATATCTCATGTTGTACAATTGGTTTTTGCTGTTGTGAGAGATGAAGTGATAGTAATAATATTTCTGTTCTTATAAATCGAAAAGAATTTAATTGTTTCAATGTTTAACGGAAATAATTATTAATGAAGTCAGATATACTGAAGCATTTCGAAAATGAGATCAAGATACCAAGTTATATATTGAAACAATTTCTTTTCCTGTTAATCATTCAGTAAACGTTAAGCTTTTAAACATTTTCTTGAACTCACTCAGCAATCATGATAAGCACATTCCATTTTTAACTTAGTTTTCAATTAATGGAACTTGTGATTAATTTGCTCGGTTAAAAGTTAGGATTTTAACCGTTTTGTTGGCAAAACATCTCTGGTGCTCCATCTTCACCGAGTGATTCCGAAATTCAGATAGTTTTCTGAAGTCAGAATTACGTATGAAATTGGTAACAAAAATAGATATCATAAACGACCTCTTCAATGACCAGCATCATGTTTCAAGATAACTCTTCTCTCATCACATTCTTCAATACCCGCTGTGTCCACCTGAATTTCAGAACTTGGTTTTAAGAAATATGTCTTGATGTCTAACGCAGAGCAAAGCAAATGGTCGCAGTAACGAACGAAGGACAAACCTTTTGACCTTTAACTTGCTAACATGACTGTACATGCTTCACTAAAACAACTTTAAGGATAATATGTCTTTGGTCTACACGTCCCTGAGTATATATCTTATGCAGCTGAAACTGCATGCCAGCACAGAATAACGTGGCACACTCAATCAACTAAAATTTGTACTCACATGACCACTTGGATTTGTACTCTGTATTTTGTAATTTGCTAGATAAATTATGAATGGCCGGTATTTGCAAATGGGACAACTACAAGTTCTTCGAACCCAAGGGTTTGATGGCTTAAGTAATAAGCACAAAACAGGATGATAAGAGATTTTCGTGACGGTAATTGAAGATGCCGTCATTGATTTTGTCTAAGGCAGCAGGGGGTAAATGTATTTGTTATCCCGAGTTGAGGTCAGAAGTGCCAATTAAATGTTATAACTGGGTTTGGCAGAAATAACCAAACTATTATCTCAATTAATTATAAATTACAAATACAGACAACCAAGATGATTAGGAATACATGCATCCAAACATTAATATATATTAGCAAGAATATTATGTATTTTCCTTTTCTTCTACTAGTATGATATATCCTGTTATACCGTTAGTTTTTGCTGTCCATCGGTCAATAATTCGGAGGTGAATCAGAGAAACGCATTGGTCAGCGAGACACGGGCAGAATCTAAGAGAAGCAACGGGAAGCTTATTTTAAACCTGCCATCATATCTATTAAGTCTGAGAAATCAAAGTCATCATACAAAACAGATATTAAATGCAGCCATTAAATGATTACGGGTACCTTTCTTTTGAGTTGAGACTCAAATATTCACAAAAATAACATTCGTGCTGACACGTTATTTAAAACAAATTATCAGCAAAATACAGAATATAGATCTCGTGCGAATAATCTAAGTATTCTGTACTACTATGAATAAGTTGTCCTATTCCCATGGACGAGACCAACATATTGCAAAGCAACGCCTATCTAAATGTCAATCGCAGCCAACCCTACGTTCAAAATGAAGCTGGTTGGAAAAAAAAAAATCAAACACCCAGAACTGCACAAAAATTAGGCAGACCAACCATAATAAGGATTCAAGTCACATGGCACATGAAATGCAGTAAGATTAATATGACCACAATCATTGTAGGGTAACAGCCATCACTCCTTGATCAGTTCATGTAATATTACACTTAACTATTATTGTGGGTCAATACTGCACAATGACTGCAGTATTTTTTTCAAAGATTGACATGAACGCACCATGTTTCATTGTGTTAATTCGTCAGCCTCCAATATAAACGATGCTGAAATGCGTTATATACAGTAGTGTAGACTCCCTGAACATGTTTGCCACCAGAAATTTCACCCACTTGCATAATCACCACAACTATCCATCCGCTGCAAAGAACAAACAAAAGAACACGTTTGAATATTTACAAATTGATGACAGAAATATCAATATGATAATAGCTTTACAGTAAATTGCAGTTTGGCAGCTAGAGCCAGTCCAGTTTGTCAGCTTAAGCCAGGCCCAAACCAGGCTAGTTTTGGCTAACAGTTTCAAAGGAAACTAGTCCAGTGATCTTAGAATGTACAACATAGGATAAAACTCACCATTCTTTTGCTAACATAAGGCTGTATCTTGATTGGCATCTCAGATTGAGTTTCAACATTTACTAACTTTCGTTTCTCCCTCTCAAATTCTTTTCTCGATTCTTTTCTGCTACCAGATTGCCAGACTCTACCAAAATTAGGAAGCCAGTTGGCATCAAACTCATTCCTCACAGTCTCTCCCCTCGTTTCCATCTCCATTTCAATCTTTCTCTTTTCCGCCCAAGCTGCTCCCACCCGTTTTGGATTCAACTTTTTGGACTTCTCTGACTTGTTTGAGTGGGAGACAAGGTCTACTGAGACAGGCTCAGAATATATCTGAACTCCCTCAGTTGCTTCAAACCATGGTGGAGGTGCTCCAGAATGAACATTTCCACCAGCATTTCCAGTAGGCAGAGAAGAGATTCGGCTGAGCATCTGTGGACCTGAAAATGAAGGATCATAAGTAGAAAATGCATCACGCATGCTAGTTCACCACCAGAGTCACAAACTCCTCTATTACCTATCTATGAATGAGCTATAAAACCATAGTAAAGTCTTAGTTTCTTTTTTCTGCATTCATATATCTTAAATATTTTACATATATGTACAAATGTGTACTACATATAAAATTGGAATATGCTTTGCAGCTTTTTAGTATTATAAGAATGGAAGCAAAACAAAATTGACAAAATTATAGATGAATACCCTTATGGCTGCTCACTTGGCTTACCATTCTACCATTGTCACGCACCTAGTACATTCATACAAAATGTGATACTTTTATTAGTATTGAAATTACAAATTAGACAGCTACAACACAGGAAGAGAGCAAAAACAGAAAAGATGTTAAAAAAAGAAAAGGAATTATAAAAAGTACTAGCATACATTGTAAGAAGCAAACTATAATACTTCATCATCAAGACATGAAAATTAGATAACTTAAAAATTGGGCGAAACTTCATGTACATTGATCTTGTAAACCAATGAGGTTACCAACCACTGCTGAAAGTCTGAAACTCAAACAGTATGTGAAACACTTATAGCCTATGACCGGAAAAAAAAAAGACACATACACGAACTCACCCCTTTATTAAAAGAGTAACCATCACCTGACCATTGTCTTTCATTACAAGGGAGGGAATGGCTTCTTTCAACTGAGACAATATAAGCACAAAGAAGATAAGACCCAATTTTAACAAATCCCCCATGTGGATGGTAATTGTAAAGTGTAAACAACCAATTCAATCCAAAAGCTTATGTTTTTGGGTTGAATCGGTTCTTTACATGATATCAAAGCCTCGGTGACGGGTTCGATTCTCACCGCCCCTCACTTTCTCTTGCGGAATTTCTTAGCACAGGTAGGTTGGGCCTGATGCATCATCCACCCTTCAAACCCAATGGGCTCTCATGTGAGGGGGCGTGTCAAGAGATATATAAAACTATTAATATAGTCTCACCCCTTAGCTTAAGCTTTTAAGTGAAGGTCTATCAATGGTTTATACTATTCTCTAACACGCCCTGTCACACGAGAGCCCATTGGACTTGAAGGGTGGATAATGCACAGGCTCATCTACCTGTGCTAAGAAACTCCACAAGACTTAATTAATTATTAATTAAATAGGAGGCAATGAGGATTGAACCCGTGACACCATGACTCTGATACCATATAAAGAACCAATTCAACCTAAAAACTTACGTTTTTGGGTTGAATCGGTTCTTTACATAAAGAATAAGAAATGAGAATTCCAATAGACAGGATACACATACCTGCAAAATCCTGCAAAGCAAAAGGATTTGTACCAGAGCATGCTTCCGAAGGTAAAGAAGAGGTATCAATATCTAACAGGCCAGTATTGCTGACTCCAGATTGTCCTGAACAGGACACCTGATACTCATTCGTATAGCATTGTAAAGGCAAAACACCAGTTGAAGGATATGATTTTAAAGAATGAGAATAAACATTATCAAAACTATCAATATTTCCATTGTTGAGTTGATTATGGATATCACTTGAAGTTCCAAACACTGCTCTGCAACATTGCCCACTCGACACCACAGGTTCAGGTTTTAGGGCCATGCACCTCTTTTCCCACTGCACTCACAAAGAAAAGAAATAACAACTAATGATCAACTACATTATAAGTCAAAGGTTTTGTTTTAATTTCCATAAAGCTCCAAAATTAGATTGCTATAATTTATATTGCACCTTAGCTAAATCATCATCAGAAACCTTAAACGTGTCCAACTGATCCATGGCACCACCATATTTCCAGAAGAAGTGCTTCAAATTCTTCACGTGTTCAACACTTGCTAGGTGACGAATCACATTAGCACTACCACAAGAACCAACACGATATAAATTAAAAATTACAGTTTAGGTAAAGGAAACCTTGACTAACTTCAATTTGAAATTGAAGTTCATAAAACAAAATTTAATACCAGGCAAAGGAACTAGAGAGCTCTTGGATATCTTGGTCACAGAAAACACACCACAAGCGATTGCGAGAAGAAAGTTGGGAACGGAGAGGGCTAGGGGTGTTCAGAAAGAAGCGTGCATCGCAGAGTTTGTTTTGGAAGCGAGAGAGGAAGGCAGAGAGGGATTTCTTGTGGTTTGGGAAGTACTTGTGTCGGAGACCTTGGTCATGATTTATATTGCAGACCTTGCAGAACTCAAACTCAGTTTTCTTCTTCCTTGTTCCCGTTATAGGTTTTGCTCTCCCACTCTCAATCTCAGATTGCTTCCCCATTATCACACAGCGGATCACCTTTTCTCTGAAATGAAATACCATTGGGAATTAATTTTACCACTCACTTTTTCACATGAACTACAATGTGGTTTCATTGGTATGCATGGATGCATGGTAAAAAAGAAAATAAAAAGACAAAAGAAATCCCATAGAGGGTAGGTCGCGGTGCAGCCTCCCCCTCATCTCAGCCCTACTCCACTTGGGTCAAGGCCAAAAAACCCACAAAGCCAAAAGCCTATAAGGCCAGCCGACTAAATCCAAATATATTTAGCCCTCCTCTTAAATGGGCTGGCGATAGCCCACCCTGTACACAGCCGAACTTTCTATGGGAAGGAAGGCTCATAAAATAGGTTGAGATTTTAATATAGCACTTCAGCAATCTTATAAGCAGCGAGTAGCAAATAATTTTAAATCAATCACATTGATTTCCATGTTTCAAACACACGTATTTTAGACTTGGGAGAAACAGATAGAAACTGACAGATCAGTTGAAAGGATTGATACTAGTAGAGTCAAGCAACAGAACTTTGTTTAGGGTCAAAAGTGATAGAGATATATAAAATTATTAATGTAGCCTCACTCATTTACATGGTATCAGAGCTTCAGTGACCACGAGGTCACGAGTTCGATTCTCACCGCCCCCCGCTTTCTAGTGAAATTAAATAAACAGATAAATCAAAAATTGGGCCTGTATAATATCCACTCTTCAAGCCCAAAGGGCTCTTGCGTGAGAGGGTGTGTTAGAGAATAATATAAATTATTAAAAAGACCCTCACCCAAAAGCTTAAGCTAATGGGTGAGGCTACATTAATAATTTTATATCTCTCTAACAAAATGTAATGGGCAAAAAGTGCAATGGAATATTCAATTAACCAGCATGAAAGATTCCATAACAAAAAAAAAATAGCAAATCCTTAGTAGACATAAAACAAGTCATTGATTCATAGAGTGGTCCATAGAACTATAAAAAAGGTAAGCAGCAACTCTAAAACAACCACAATAACAAAACTAGGTTGTGAACGACGAGGGATTCAAACCCCTGAAATCGTGGTTCGTAGCCATATGCTCTAATCCTCTGAACTCCAGGCCCCACCTCATCTCCACTAGCTATAACAATTAGAGCATGTTTGCTAAGAAGATGGGGTGGGGCTTATAGCTCAAAGGATTAGAGCACGTGAACCACGGTGTAGGGGGTTCGAATCCCTCCTCGCCCACAACCGGCCAAAATGGGAAAGATCCTTCCCTTTGGGGTAGGAAAATCATGATTGGGTTAGCGAACCCAAAACTATGGAATTTGGGTGTGAGTATTTTATCGAAATGGAATGACCTTACTTTACGATTTTCTTTTTTAAAAGAAAAAGAAAACAAAATTTTTCCTAAATGATGGATATATTAAAATAAATACAGTACGCCCTACTCTTTGAATCCACTTTTTTTTTTTACACCTCATAATTCTTCCTCAGCCAGGCTTGGGGCGGTTGGAATATCACAAGGGGGGCTATAACCAATTCGGGTATTTGGAGTTACGATAATGTGGCCGGAGCAGATATTGTGTTTTCAAGTTTGTGCTTATTGGCTGCTATCTGACATTGGGTCTATTGGGATCTAAAAATATTTTGTGATGAATGTACCAAAAAACTTTCTTTGGATTTGTCCAAAATCTTTCATTTATTTCTTGCAGGGGTGGCTTATTTTGGTTTCAGTGCATTTCATGTAATAGGATTGTATGGTCCTTGAATATAGGTGTCCGACCCTTACAGACTAACCGTAAGGGTATAATCCATAAATCCCGCATGTCGTGTGGAGGTTTTTGATCCATTTGTTTCGAGGGGAATAGCCTCTCATCATATTGCAGCTGGGACATTTGGTATATTGGCGGGCCTTTTCCATCTTAGTAGTGTGCACCCACCCCAACGTCTATACAAAGGATTGCATGTGGGAAATATTGAAACCGTCTGTATCGTTGTTGTCTTTTGTCCGTATCGCTGCTGTCTTTTTTGCAGCTTTGGTTGTTGCTGGAACTATGTGGTATGCTGGAACTATGTTGGTTGTTGCGCCTCTCACATGATTGGTTCTCATGATATGCCAATATTTTTTATTATTATTTTAAAAGAGAGGTGCTCATGGCATTAATATCTCTTACAACACCATGTCACCTATACGCATACCTATAAATTTTTAAATAACAGTTACATCGATCAATGTATCATACACACATATGCGTGTATATTACACATTAATCAATGTAACCGTTTTTTAAAAATAATCCTTAATATGCATATAAATGGAAAAATTCACCAACGTAGTGTCATGAGAGGAGTTGATGCCATGGGCGCCTCTCTTTTGAATATATATATATATATATATATATTAAGCAGCATGTCACATGCACCAATCACATGAAAGGCGCCACAATCTTTAACGCCTTCAAAGGCACTAGAGATCTTATACTCAATCTTGACTATTGATATACTTACATGTAACGGCTCACATATCTAATAAATCAGAGCCATTAGATATGCATAGGCTCACATATCTAATAAATCAGAGCCATTAGATATGCATAGGATCAATGCTTATATATATATATATATATATATATATATATATATATATATGGGTAGGATATTATTATACTCATGTAAGAATAAGAAGTCTTATATCAAATCTTGATCATTGATTTGCTTGCATCCAACGGCTCAAATATCCAATAAATCAGAATCATTAGATATAAATCATGGAAAAGTGTGCATCCTTTTAAAGCATGGTTCTTTTAAGAGAGAAAAAGATATATCATAATGGGGAGAGAGAGAGAAAAAACTCACTCATTTATCTCTTTCTCTCTCTTAAAAGGATACAACTTCATATCCTTTAAAAGAATACAAATTTTCCCATATATATATATATATATATATATAATTGTGGCTTAACCCATTTGATTGTAGATCTCCCATTACTATGAACTCTACCGATTAGCCAACACTACGTAGTAATAGGTAAATCTTCTTTCCGTATATGTGAACTGATAAATTCTACAGTTGCATATAAAAGCATTTTTGGTCATTTATAAATCAGCTCTTTGAATCTTAATTTCTCCCAAATGACATCAAACACATTCAGTATCTACATTAAATCAAATCAACCTAACAACTGATTCCAGCGTAAGTAAACCACAATGGCTAAAAAATTTTAGGAAAACAAGAATGAGAAGTTCAACCTCAAATCCAAGGAGATTAAAGAGATATTTCGCTTTATTCCTCTTGGTATGCTTTTTTAATCCTTAGATATGAAAAGCTCTCTTGCTCTCTGCTTACTCTCACAATCCTCGCCAAAACAGCATGTCTAGCCAAACAATGATCGCCCTAGTAGGATAACCAAACACATAACACAATGAATCCAGTTAAAAATAGAGAAACACACAGCCAGGGGCGGACGGAGTAGGGGGTTAGGGTGGGCCCTCGCCCCCCTTAAATTTGGAAAAAAAATTTATATAATATATGTAAAAAAATGTGATGATGAAACTATTGTGTTGTACATGCTTTTCCCTTCAATTTTCCATGCTTCTGCTCACGCTCTTACCGAAAATATCTATAGTACTACTATTGTACCATTCTCTCAGTGCATCTATCCAATAAAAAATGAGAAATAATTGTCATGTTTGTATAGAAAGGAGAGAAAAATATTTTTTTTATCCAAGTGTCACCTGTTAAATGACAGATATACCTACTACAAATGTACAGAAGATGACCTCGCTCTTTCCATATATTTCTTTGATTACATGCATTGAAAAAGAAATTGTTTTGAGTTTTAGTACGGATTTAATTATAGATGAGTTTAACAATATGAAAACACGTAAAGCAAGAGTCAAGTGAAATGATATTAAGTTCTGTAATAGATTTTTTTTTTCGATTTTTTGTATATTAAATTTGTATTGTATTTTAAGTACTTTTATTTATGATATAATATTTTTTATTTTCGCCCCCTCTTATTAAAATTCCTGCGTCCGCCACTGCACACAGCAACAACCAATCGAAACTGAAAACTAGAAAAGATAGATTCAAAGTATGAGGACGGAGCACTGCAAAACTAAACTATTACCTTGTGATGAAGTGGATGACAAATTAGAAAATCAATCACTAACAAGGTCGAGCACTGCAAGAAGCTTCGAATCTGCGAGGCATTGAACGAGCAAAGTGAACACGTGAATGCGAGGGAGTGGGACGGAGTGAATGATAAATCTTGGAATATTTGGTATTAGGGTTCACCTGTCCCGAAGAAAATAGGGAAAAGTTGTTAATTGTAAGGACGTGCATGAGCGGTTCGGTTCGGTTGGATTCTTAACAAAAACTAAATTGAACCGGTTTTAATTGGTTTGATTTTCAAACCGAACTAATTTTCTTTTTTGAACCGGTTTTTTTATTTTTTTTCAAACTAGTTTGAAACCGGTTCCAAAACCGATTATGAACCATAAACTTGTTATCAAGTTCAAAACCTATTTTATAGCTATAACAAAACGGGTTTTAATTAGATGTTTTATTTTTGTCAAAATAAAATAAAATATACCTTTATTTATTTATTTTAAATACAAACTCACTTCAAATTTTATTTTATTTTATTTTTCATATGAATATAATTACTCAATGTCCTCGAAATATACAATTGGCTTAAAATTGGAACAACTTGCAAGACAAACACTTTATTTGGTTTGAATTGTTCATATACTTTTCAACTTGCAACGAACATTTAAACTGGTTATATTTGATCTTAACCTTATTTTATTTTATTTTATTTAAAACATTTTATTTTTTATAGTACGAGCTAGAAAATCCATGCACTTGACTTGAAAGATATATAAAAAAAAAAAAACCAAAAAAAACGAGAGTGTGGGGTGAAGGCAATCCTTCTACGCAGCCTTACCTTTGCATAATTGCAAAAAAGCTGTTTCCTAGATTCGAAACCATGACCTTTCAGTCATGAAAGAATAGTTTTACCACTGCTCCAATTCGCCCCCTTTAAATGAGAATCCATGCACTTGAAAGAGATAAACAAGAAATAAAATAACATCAGGAAATCCATGGTACATTATTTACAGGCACTGCATTTTCAGGGAAGGTTATGGATGCATTTTCAGGCTGCATTGGAGATAGATAAATGTCCTACCTATGATGTTTTATCATCTCTTGAACACACTCTAAATGTATAGTAAGCCCACAAGGTAAGACCGTAATAAATTTTATTGAATCAAACAGATACTGCAAGGGGGAAAAATGAAATCATCTAAATGAGAATAAGACAGATATCACACAGATTGTATTTCAACAGAAATTCGACAATTGAAGTAGAACTATTTGTTCGACAATAAAAAAAAAAACCTTTGTACAGTTAAGAAATAAAGCACCAAAAAAAAAAAAAAAATACTAACAAAATGATAAGAAACTATATTTTCATTTCCTTGGAACAGTGATGATAAGACAATTTGTATACTAACAAAATTCATAATTTTGCAAATTATATTTTACACATCCAATGAGTTATGTAATAAATTTCTTACACTACTCCATATATCTGAGTTAATATAGTAGACAGAAGATAAAAAGAAGAAAGAAACCTTGAAGGAAGACGATATAGATCGAAGTGGACGAACCCGTTCCGGAAGGATGCCGGTGGAGAAAGGGACGCCAGCGGTGGTCGCAGGAGAAGAGGAATCGCTTCGGAATCGTGAGTCGCGAGTGGGTGGCGAAATCAAAGAAGAGATTTGGATGAAAGAAGAGAGAGATAATGCAGTATGTAATAAGATCAATCCCAAAGCTAGGTTTATGGAAATCAAAGAGGAGAGAGAACTCAGCTTAGGAGCTCAGGTTCATGTGCTCATAATTCAGAAATCAGAATATTGAAGTTAGGGTTGAAAGAAAATATAAAAATGATTTAAGACAAAAAAAAAATGGATATCTAATTTTTTAGGGGTCAATGAAAATCTTCTTAACCCGTCAATTAACTAGCATTCCAGTAATCACTAAGCCATCAGTGTGACCAGGAATGACCTTTTGTAGATCTTTTTTTGTAAAAAATAACTTGGGGAGGCCAGGCTTACTGGCCTTTTCTTTGAAGGCAGGTCTGTCTTTGACTGACATGACCTCCCAAGGCTCCACTTATGACATTGCATTCGAAGTCGGCTTCTTGGTACTCCTCATCCTTGTCTTCGACCTTCTTACCTTTATTGGGATGGTCTTGTCCTCGATCTTTCCTGTCATCCCTCTTCGGGCTAGGGCTTCTGCTCCGGCTCCTCTGCATTCGCTTGCTATTTTTCTTGCCCTGAGTTCGGATGAGGTATTGCTTAAGCTTCCCTTCTCTAATGTGTTTTTCAATAGCATATCGGAGATCCCAGCAGTCATCCGTTGTATGACCATTCTGATCATGAAATGCGCAATATTTATTCCTGTCCAACCCGCCCTTGTTTCTAATGGGTCGAGGCCTTTCAACATTACGCATCTCGATTTGAGCCACCTCTTTCCATATCTAAGATCTGGACATGTTTAATGGAGCATAACTGTCAAACTTAGTTCTTGGGGAACGTTCATCTGACCTCTTATTGTGAGAGTCGGATGTCTTCTTTGACCCCTGCCGATCTCTATCCTTGTTCCTTTTGCTTGGACTTTGGCGATTTGGGCTTTGACCTCTAGATTTGCCATAGGCTCTCTGCATGTCTTAGACGTCTAGGCTCTCTGCATGTCTTAGATGTCGATATACTTATCTGACCTCCATCGAAACTCCTCCAGGTCGTTGACCGGGTTCTTGTATATGGATTTGGCGAGTGGAGATTCGCCATCCAGACCAGAAATAATCATATGCAAATGACATGGTTCAGTTAAATTTGGTACCTTAAGGGCGGATTCCTTGAAGCGATCAAGGTATTTTTGCAATGATTCGTTCTCCATTTGCCGGATTCTTCCTAGAGCATAGGCTGGCATATGATGTGCTTTACTGGTGGCGAAGTTCAGGCGAAAAGTACGAGCCAGATCCTCAAATGAATCAATGGAGTTTCTGGGCAACCTGGTTATCCGCGCCATTGCCTAACCTGTTAAGGTCGTTGCAAAGATTCTGGCCTTAATAGGTCCAGTTATCCCATTGAACAACATCTCTGTCTTGAACGCCTCCAAGTGGGCGTCTGGGTCCTGACTTCCGTCATAAGGAGGTATTTTGGCACTTTTGAACCTTGGCGGAATAGCCAAGTTTATGAGCCTCTGGGTGAATAGACTGTCATTAGCCTCTTCGTCATGGAGATAGTTATCTCCTTAGTCGTTGCCCTGACCTCTGTTTTCATGCTTGTTCTCATTGTGAACGCCTCGAACCTGTTCAGTTGTCGCATTCCGACGTTCTTGCCCCTCAGCTTCGGGTCTACCTTCAGTGGTAGGTCGACCTTCTCTTCCAGCTCGGCCTTCAATATTCTGGTTCCGTAGCTCGGCTTCCAGTGCCTCCATTCTTTGAGCATCCAACCTCTGTTGAGCCAAGAACCTATTCTCCATCTCCTGCATCCTTTGAAGGATTGCATTCAAGGCAGTGTTAGCTATGTGATCGTCAGCTCTGGGTTGTTCATTCTGCGGTGGCTGACGTTCGAACTCCGTCGCTGGGTTGTTCGGGTCACGAAGTGTGGTTGCTCAGGACCGACCTCTCTGACCTGCACCTCCACCAAGACCGGATTGGACATCTCTTGTAGATGCCCTAGGGCGGACTGATGCGACGGTGGTTGGGGTTGAGCGTTGCTAGATGTTGCACGAGTGTTTGTCATCGTGGAATAGGAATCGAAATTTATCGTTCCCACAGACAGCACCAATGTTAGGTCCTAAAAGACCATATTGCTATACCGTATGGTATTCGCTCAGAAATACCCTAGAGATAGGTATCTAGATTGGCTTATTGCCAACACTCCAATCACTGCGCACAAGCAATGGACTTATAGCCAAGACGTGGGTGTGTGCACAGTGTTGGCAATAATAGTAAATAGGTCAAAAGTGTATACCTGGGGTCTTCAACCTCTTATTTATAAGGATTACCTCTTGGGCTTGTATAGATCTCCCAGTTGTAGTAGGATTCAACTTCCTTTCTGTTTGGATAAGGGCTTTATCCTAAGCAGCCTTACTGTTTTATATTGTTAGGATAATTGGATCATTATCCTTTAATGGATTCTTGGGTAGGTAGTTAGGATATGGATAATATTCCATAACAGTACTTATCCTTATAGCGTTCATAGGCTTATCAATCCTTGAATTGTGGCGCCTTCCGATTCTGGTTTCTTACTTAATTTCATTCATAAAGTTCATCAGAGTCAAACCTTAACCCCTAAATCTTCAATTTTTTTCTCAACTATCTTAGACTATATCACACGATATACCTAGCCTTTTTCGGTGATTCTTGAGCCTATTTTGCATTTTAGAATGCAATCTTTCACCTTGTTTTAGAATCGCTCAATTTCGAGATGTGTAGCGTGATATATGATCATTTAATGATAGGACATGTTGGAGACTGAATTTTGGGCATAAATTACATTCCTAGTTGATCCAATCCACCCACTTCTCTTTAGATTCATATCAATTGTGCAAGCTTCACATCATGCCTCTTTACCTTAGGCACAATGTCAGCACGCCTATATCCAAAGGCAGAGCTAGGATTGTTAATTAGGGGGGGCGAATTTTTTTTTTATAGCAACATGTAATAAACATTCAGAAATTTAATACCACCAAATCTAGATTTTGTCCACTCAATTTTTCATCCAAGAAATGAAAAGTTTATTGAATAAAACACCAAATCTATAGTAGCCATTAGAATTGATCTAGTGAGGGATTTTGGTAGGTTAGATTATGTGTTCACTTTCCACTTGTATCCAAAAAAATGATTGAAATTATGTTTTAAAAAAAATAAGAAATATAATTTTTAGTACTATATATTCTTGTTAAGTAGCAGGGCTAGGACAAAAGAAAACACACACAATGACCACCCTCACACACCACATAATTGACAAAAAAGAGAGAGTAAAACAACCTTAACAAGATATACAATAACCCTGTGGTTTATTTTATTACAAGGTGAAATACACAGGCATATTGCCATGGTAGAATTAATGTTGCTAAGTACGAAGCAACAAACAAAGAAAGGATAGTAGAAAACTATTATACAAAATACAAAAAGCTTAAAACTCAAATGTGACAGCATATACACACACAGCCACCACCAGAGTCTTCAACCAAAACAAAAAACTGCACGGTTACGCATAATTATTAGTATCTACGGACTATACATACATAGCCCTTATCATAATATATATTTACTAAAATCAGTGCTTTTAGAAGAAGCCTTCAATGTTCTAGTCTCCATAGCCATATCCACCTCCAGAGCGACCATCACGTCCATCCTTACCATACCCTCCACCAGAACGATCTTCATCATTCCCATACCCACTTCTCGAATATTCACCTCCATAACCACCACCAGAACGTTTTAAAAACTCATTCTATGTATTGTTAAAAATTTCATCAAATTCGAGGGGGGGGGTCGCTAACCCCTAGCCTCCCCTCCCTTCGCCTCTGCCTGTAACCCTCAGTGGAAGTATGGTGCTCCCCATCATAAGGCACAACATTCTTAACAACATCAAAATCATAACCTAGCAACTCGGTCCACATCTCAGAAGTCATCATAATCTCAATGTCGCAGACGATGGATGTGAGGCCTCCATCAAAGTAACGGATATTTTGGCCTAAGACCCTCACCTTTAAGTACGAGCAAGATATCACCACAAACACTCTCAAGTGTATGTGGTCAAGAACAACAACAATATTGAAGTCCTCTGTCATGAAAAATGTCGAATCCAAAGATTTCGTTTCCATTATACTTTGAGGAATATACTTTAGTACGAATCGATTTGTCTTGGTCTTATCATTCTGGGACAAATACCTGTATGGCATATCTATAGGGTCAGGATCAATCGACCTAGACGATGAAGGCACATCATGGCGGTTCTTGGTACATCTCTCTGAAGCGGGTGACTTACTTGGACGTCTATCAACAATATAATAAAATTAATATTCAGTGACCAATAACAAAAGAAAGTTGCAAAAACAAACCAAATTGAGTAAAAAAAAAATCAAACAAAAAAGAAAAAATATACTAATTTAGATTTCGAGTTAGGGTTTCAGATTTCGGAAATTCGAAGAAAAAAAAAACAAAATTAGCCACAAAACTATATGGAAATCAAAGATTCATGATGGAGAGCACCATTGACAATCATTTTGGGGTTTTTTTTTCTGAGGTTGGGAGTTAGTTTTAGGATTATGGGACAAAGAGGAAGAGAGGCGAGGGATTTTAAAATGCAGCTCCTTGCTCGATACTTACTCTAATCTTTTACTCCGAAACTCACTTACTCGAGTAAGTATCAATCAACTGGTTAAATAGGAACATATTAATATATAATTTAGGAAGGAAACAAAGTGTAATTTTTTTCTTTAAAACGGGGAAAAATAATTAGTGTATTTCCAACCTCCCAAACTTTCACATGCATCATACACAACCAAACCCTTCTACCACTTTCCAAAACTGTATTACTTCCTTGATCGTATTGGCACTACCTTATAAGACAAAATAGATATCAACTAAATCGGTATCCTATTGCACGTTTCATTGATACAAAATAAAATTTGAACAAACAATAGGAAGTTTGATTGTTTATTATTATTGTTAAGGATGTCTCACACCGTAGATGCTTTGACTGCAATCCTCAACTCACGAAAATCGAAGAAGCAGAAATGCTATTCAACAAGCTTCAAGTGAATAATTTTAAACATTTGTAAAGTGTATTTATGCCCAAATAATTTTAACACATTGAGCAACTCTCGTGCTACAAAAGTTCTCCCGATGGGATGTATATGAACAGCATTCTGAATGATACATGATATATAATTCAAAGCAACAAACTAAACAAAATTAGCAAAATTGTCAAGCGAAAGAGATTAATCTCAATTTTTAAGTCAAACCAGCTTGCCTGAACAATTAAAACCCAAAAAGGGTTTAAACTAGAAAAAACTATAGCCTACACTACGCAGAATTAATGGCTTCAAGTTGCCTTCGGAGATTGTCAAGGTCATCATTGTCACTGATTGGAGCTTCAGGAGTAGCTAGGTTCTGAAATTCATCCGCACTGGGAAGCTCATGAGTAAGACCTTCAGGCAGGACATCTGTAATAGATTTTGGGGGGAGCAGGTTACTAATTTAAATACTAATTGCAAACGAACAATAGAATTGAAACAAATCTATAACCCTTCAGCAAGAAAAGTAAATGCTTTTCCAACCAATATTGTCATTTAAAAAAAAAAAAAAAAAAAAACAGATGCATAGTTGACAGTACTTTTTGCTCATGCAATAAAGGTGCAAGACAAAAGGCGCATTTGCATGAAAACATTTTCGTGATGAAGCTGGAAACAGAATTTCCCACATGGCTCAAAACAAACAAGGAAACCAACATCAGCAGCTTTATAATCAGTATCATGAATCCGCAAAGACATCCAGCACTTCAGTTCACTTGTAGGAAAGGACAATCGCATTGAGCTTATCAACAAGAACTTTAGAATATACCAAGTAAATACCTGAACTTCTGGTATCACGACCATCCAACTCACAATCATCAACAACACTGAAAATTCAATACAAGGACATCATCACTAAATGTGAAGGATAAAATTCCAAGAAGGAATCAGAAATCTTTGATATCACATGGTCATCGCATTAATGATTACATTCAGTACATCCACAATAAAAATCAATTCTGACTGATAAAGCATCTCTCATCTTCTCCTATCTATAAACATGTAAATAAAAAGAACATGAATCCTATGAAAAATCATTAAGCACCTTATATTCCATTCATTATCATCGTGAAGTGGGCCTTCATCAATTGATAGTGCTTCAGCTTCCATTTTTGTTTTTGCTGCAGCATCTCTTGCCGGCTTTGCAAGAATATACTCTTCCTGCATAACATTTATGCTTCAATAGTCAGGCAGAATGATATATGACTATTAACAAAATCAAATTCTCCAACAAGCCTTGACTGAAAATTCCTTACCTGTCTTTTTAAGCAAGCTATATTTGAACATTGAGGGTTTGGCTTCATTTGCATAGTTGGGAAAAAATCCTTAAGAGAGTTATATCCCTACATACGAAAAATAAAAATAAAAATAGGATATCAGCATAAGGCTATATTGTATTCTTAAGAATGACAAAATGTTCTTCATAATGGCCCGACCAGATCCCTCTTTGAAGAATAGATTTCTCTATTTATTTATTTTTATTTTTTAAAAAAAGGGAAAGTTTGCAACAACTCAAAGAAATAGAGAATAGAGATTGGGGCAACAGTGCAGTACTTACCAAATACGGAGAGACTTGACCAAAACCTAACAAGAATTTTAGTGTATTTTGGACTAGAAGCCCAGCAACAACCCCCTGAAAAGTGAAATAAGATTTTCTAATGCCAAATAAATAACAAAAAATAAAGTGTGCTACACATACTAAACAATAAAATGATAACAAATAAGATAATAAAAATAGTAGGATATGTCATGCAAATATTCACTTAAACAGAACTTTTTTTTTATGTGTATAATACTATAAACCACCACATTCAAGTATAATAAGATGAGAAGTTTCTGAACCATTTATTTAAATTTTAACTATAAAAAAGAAAAGCAGTCAATATAAGAGATATAGAATTTTACCATGGTGGTTGGTAAAGATGCAGCACAAACCCCTTCACGCTTAAGTGTGCGTTCATCTATCCCAGATGCTACAACCTAAGAGGAACGCACAATTGTATCCTTACATACTGAATAAAAGTTTCCCATTTTCCATAAGCTGGATTGGTAGTATGTATTTATCAACAAATTTAGTTGCATAGTCTGCTATTTAAAAAACGATAACATAGTCCACACATGGATGAGCTTCTAGAACTTCACATATCACTAGGTTAATTAAACTCAATCCTTTAAAGCACTTTATGGCCAATTGTGAATAATACCCAATTTCAAATAAAGAACATACTTACCAGAGGAGGTGCACATGCAAAACAGGCAGTTTCACCAGGAATAAGTAACTGAATATGACCAGAAACAGCATCCTCAGAAACACCTGATCAAATTTTTATATTATGTATGAGTTTCCACACAATGCAAAATTACCATAATGAATTTTAATATTATGTATCCAAAATGTTGGAAGAAGGGTGCTGGGAGAAAGTAAATGAAATTGATCTTATACAAAGGAAACATGGTGGTGGAATGGAGAGTTGCAAGAGGCAATTAAACAGAAGAAGGAATGCTTTAGATCTTTGCATAAAAGTCCCAATGATGAGAACTAGCAAAAGTTTAGATTGGCGAGAAAAATGCAAAGAAAGCAATGCGAGAAACTAGAGGCAAGGTTTTCACAGATTTGTATAAAAATCTTGGGAGCAAGGATGGTGAAAAAGGTATATATAAACTTGCAAAAATGAGGGATAAGAAACGTAAAGACCTCACCCAAGTTAGATGCATCAAGGATGAAAATCAAAAACTTTTAGTAAGAGAGAAAGATGTAAATGAAATATGGATGAACTACTTTAACAAGCTTTTTAATGGGGATGGTGATAAAAGCGAGGTGGACTTGGAGGATGCTTATGATAATTTGAATAGAAGATTTGTGCACAGAATCAATACTCATGAAGTTAAGGAGGCTTTAAAGAGGATGAAGATTAATAAAGCCTTAAGACCCGATGGTGTCCCTATTGAAATTGGAGAGGCCTGAGGGATGTGGCAATATAATGGTTGACCAATTCTTTCAATAAAATTCTTCAGACAAATAAGATGTCTGATGCATGGAGGAAAAGTATGTTTGTGCCTATTTACAAAAACAAGGGAGATATTCAGAATTGTTCTAACTATAGAGACATTAAGCTAATGAGCCATACTATGAAGTTGTGAGAGAGAGCTATTGAACATCGCTCGAGGAGAGAGACCAAGGTTTCTGTAAATCAATTTGGATTTATGCCAGGATAATGTACCATGGAAGCAATTTTCTTGAAGCAACAATTAATGGAAAGATATTGAGAAAAGAAGAAGGACATACATATGGTGTCCGTAGATCTTGAGAAAACATACGATAGCTCAAGAAATGTTTTATTGTGGGTTCTCGAGAAGAAAAAAGTACCATCGAAGTATGTAGATGCAATCAAGGATATGTATGGTCGGGCTACTACATGTGTGAAATTATGATGAAACATTAAGTTATTTTCCTATCACGGTAGGTGTACACCAAGGTTCGACTCTAAGTCCTTATCTCTTTGCCTTAGTTATGGATGAACTAACAAAAGATATTCAATAGGAAGTTCCATGGTGTATGCTTTTTGCATATGATCTTGTACTTATTGATGAGACAAAAGATAGTTCTAATAGAAAACTTGAATTGTGTATAAGCACGTTGGAATCTAAATGATTCACGTTAAGCCGGAGCAAAAATGAGTATATGAAGTGTGAGTTTTCTCTGGTAAGAAATGTAGATCAAGATCTCGTGCATCTACTTGGTCAAAAGGTACTCAAGAAAGATGTTTTTAGATACCTGGGATCCAGTTTACAAAAAAATGGAGAGATTTATGAGGATGTAAATCATAGAATCAGAGCAGGGTGGATGAAATGGCGTAGTGCATCTGAGTTTTGTGTGACCGCAAAATTCTCTTTAAGCTAAAAGGAAAATTTTATAAAACAACAGTATGGCCTGCAATGTTATATGGAGCTGAATGTTGGTCAACATATAGGCAACATGAGCATAAAATGGGAGTAGCAGAAATGAGGATGTTAAGATGGATATGTGGTTATACGGGAATGAATAAGATAACAAATGAAGATATTCGATGAGAGGTAGGGGTAGTACCGGTGGCTGAAAAGATTAGAGAACATAGATTGAGGTGGTTTGGACACGTAATGAGAAGGCCTCTGAATGCGCCCGTAAGAACAAAAGTTTGTTACCAAGAGCTCGACACAAAGAGAGGTAGAGTAGACCAAAACTTACTTGGGGGAAGGTAGTTAAAGAAGACTTGATAGAGTGAGATATAGATTGGCGGACAGTGTGTCTTAGGACGGAATGAAAAAAAGTTATAAGAATAGTGGAGGGTTAGAACCCGTTGTTATTCCTATGTTCTAGATTATCCTTTTTAGTCCTTTTCCTCTTCATCTCCTCCTCCTTATTTTCCCCTTCTTTTCCTTTATCTCTTTTTCCCTTCCCCATTTTTTTCCCCTTCTTACTTATTTATTTATTTACTTATTTTTACTTTTATGTTTATATATATATATATATATATATATATATATATATATATATATATAAATTATTTTATTTTTTGTCTTACTTTCTTATTCTCTTTTTTTTCCCTCTATATATCTCTATCTTTAGTTTACCTTAATATACTTTTCCTTTTAATTGTTTGCCTCTTTATATATATATACACTTAAATTTCATTTTATCTTTTTTCAATCTCTTCGTATCAGTTAAATGTAAAAGAATACGTTGTGTATTGATCTGTGTCAGGGAGTTACAATATATAGAGACCCTAATGGGCTTAAGTGTAAGGCCCAAACCTAATCCTAATACAGTCAGAATACATTCAGACTATTTACGGATAAGACAGAATCCAATCATATCTAATCATATCTAATCATATCATATCTAATATTTTAACACTCCCCCTCAAGCTGGTGCGTATATATTATGAGCACCAAGCTTGTTACAAATGTATTCAACCCGAGGACCTCTAAGAGCTTTAGTGAAAACATCTGCTAGTTGATTAGACGAGTTGACAAAAGCTGTCTTGATTTCTCCTGACTGAATCTTTTCCCGAATGAAGTGACAATCAATCTCTATATGTTTGGTCCTCTCATGAAAAACAGGATTAGAGGATATATGTAGCGCAGCTTGATTATCACAGATGAGTGTCATGGGTTGTTTCTGTTCACAAAGATGAAGCTCCTGAATCAACTGCTTTAACCAGATCAACTCACAGGTAGTATTTGCCATTGCACGATACTCAGCTTCTGCACTAGATCGGGAAACAACAGGTTGTTTCTTGCTTTTCCATGAGATTAAGTTTCCTCCGAAGAAGACACAATAACCAGAAGTAGAGCGTCTGTCCGAGGGTGATCCTGCCCAATCGGCATCTGAGTAACCACAAATTTCTGTATTTCCCTGATCCGAATACAACAAACCTTTTCCTGGTGCTCCTTTGATGTATCGGAGGATCCTCACAGCAGCATCCCAATGTGAATCACAAGGGGAATCAAGGAACTGACTAGCCGTACTGACAGCGAAAGAAATATCTGGCCTAGTCACAGTAAGATAATTGAGCTTCCCAATCAGCCTTCGATAACGTCCAGGATCAGATAACGGCTCCCCTTGTCTGGGCAATAACTTAACATTAGGATCCATGGGTGTATCAACTGGTTTACACCCCAACATACCAGTCTCTTCTAGGATATCCAAGGCATACTTCCTTTGACAGATAGAAATGCCCTGTCTAGATTGCGCCACCTCAATTCCCAAGAAGTAACGCAGCTTCCCAAGGTCCTTTGTTTGAAATGCACTGAATAAATGTTGTTTTAACTGACGGATTCCGTCTTGATCACTTCCGGTGATGATGATGTCATCAACATAGACTAACAAATAGATGCACTTGTTAGGAGATGTAATCCTATAGAATACAGAATGGTCAACTTTACTGCGAATTAGGCCAAACGCCTGTACAGCAGAACTAAAGCGACTGAACCATGCTCGAGGAGACTGCTTGAGACCATATAAGGATTTTCGAAGACGACATACCTTCCCAGACTCCCCCTGAGCAACAAAACCAGGTGGTTGCTCCATGTAAACTTCTTCTTGTAAATCACCATGAAGAAAGGCATTTTTGATGTCAAGTTGAAGGAGTGGCCAGTGACGAACAGCAGCAAGGGCAAGAAATAGGCGGACGGACGCCATCTTAGCGACTGGAGAGAATGTATCGCTATAATCAAGACCAAATATTTGAGTAAAACCCTTGGCAACTAGGCGTGCCTTGAGACGATCAACATGGCCATCAGGTCCAACTTTCACAGTAAACACCCAGCGACAACCAACTATAGACTTCTCTGGAGGAGCAGAAACAAGGTCCCAAGTGCCATTGGTATGAAGTGCGGTCATCTCATCAAGCATCGCTTGGCGCCATCCTGGATGGCAAAGTGCTTCACCTGTGGTCTTAGGAATAGAAACAGAAGAAAGACTAGAAACAAAGGTGAAATGAGGAGGAGAAAGACGATCATAGCTCAAGAAGGTATAAAGAGGATAAGGGTTACGAGTAGTACGTGTACCTTTTCTTTGAGCAATGGGAAGAGCCTCTGGTGAAGGATCCGGAGGGGAAGAATCAACTGCAGGGGGCAATGAGTCAGCAGGGGTCGAGTCGACTGGAGGTACTGTGTTACGACGCTGATAAGTGAGAAGTGGACGGTTCTCAGGTACTGGAGCAATAGGTGATTGCTTATCTGGAGTAGAAGCACCTGCATCTGGCAAAGACAAGTCAAGAAAAGGAACAGGAAGAACATGATCAACCTGTGACAATGGAGATGGGATAGAATTAAAGGGTTGTTGATCAAGAAAGGTGACATCAGCGGAAACTAAGTAACGCTTGAGATCAGGAGAGTAACAGCGATAACCCTTTTGAAGACGAGAATAACCCAGAAAAATGCATTTAAAGGCTTTGGATGTTAACTTATCCTTACCAGGAGTGAGATCATGAACAAAACAGGTACAACCAAAAACATGTGGGGATAGAGGAAAGAGAGCAACATCCGGAAACAATAAGTTATGAGGAATATCATTATTAAGCACAGATGAAGGCATGCGGTTGATGAGAAAGCAAGAAGCAAGGACTGCATCAGCCCAGAAGTGAAGAGGAACATGCATGTGAATAAGAAGAGTCCTGGCAATCTCAATGAGATGTCTATTCTTACGTTCAGCTACTCCATTTTGTTGTGGAGTGTGAGGACAAGTGGTTTGGTGTAAAGTACCCTGTGTGGCTAGGAAATGAGAAAAGTCAACAGAAACATATTCCTTAGCATTATCACTACGTAAAATACGAATAGAAGCACCAAATTGAGTATGAATTTCAGCAGAAAACCTTTGATAAATAGAAAACAACTCAGAACGGTTTTTCATTAAATAAATCCAAGTACAACGGGAGAAATCATCAATAAAGGTAACAAAATACCGAAACCCTAAAACAGACACACTTCGACTAGGACCCCAAACATCTGAATGAATAATTGAAAAAGGAGCATCAGCTCGCTTATTGACACGATTAGCAAAGGAGGAGCGGATGTGCTTTCCTTGCTGACATGACTGACAATCTAAAGTTTGAAGACCGGATAAAAGAGGAACCATCTTCTGCAATTTCGCAAGACTAGGATGCCCAAGACGACTGTATGAGTTGTGGAGATTCTGTGAGAGAACAAGCAACTGAAGGACTCGGCACATCAAGGTAGAACAGACCCCGTGACTCACGGCCCACTCCAATCATTTTCCCCGTACCCGGGTCCTGCACAGAAACAGATTGGTTTGAGAATGTGACAATACAATTAAGAGAATTGATCAATTTACTAACAGATATTAAGTTATAAGGGATGTGAGGAATGTAATAGACAAATGTCAAGGTCAATGAGGAGGTTGGACAGATTTGTCCAATCCCATGAACGGGGGCCTTAGTTCCATCAGCAAGAATAAAAGAGGGTAAATTTTCAGAATATGTAAGGGAAGAAAAGAGTTCCTTATTACCACAGAGGTGATCAGTAGCACCTGAGTCAAATATCCAAGGACCAAGTGATGCAGAATGAGAAACACAAGCAACAGGATTACCAGTTTCTGAAGCGGAGGCCTGAGATTGAGGAGAGGACTTCCTGAGAAGGGCCTGGAATGCTACATATTCTTCAGAGGAGAGAGAGACTGTACCATTTGAAGCAGTATCCGATTGAGCTATATTAGCAGCAAAAGAAGGTCGCATGTGAGGACACTTTGTGTAGCAGTGTTCCTCATAATGACCAAGTTGCTGACAGTAATGACAACGAGGTCGCTAACCACGTCCGACTGGACCTCCTGGGCCTCTACCACGGCCTCCTGGGCCTCTACCACGACCACGTCCACCTCCAATATTCCCGCGAAAATCAGTACGGGAAACTAGAGCAGTAGAATCAACAGCAGAAGACGATGCAGGAGCAGATTTCTTATTCAAATTCAGAAGACGCTGATACGTCATGGATAGATCAGGCTCCCCACTAGTCAAGATAGTATCACGGACATTATCATATTCTTCGGGAAGGCCAGAAAGTGTGGCAACCATAAAGAGACGTTCCACCTGTTTCCGATATGCAGTAGCATCAGTAGGGTAAGGCAGCATATCCAAATATGCCTGCATCAAAGAGCGACTCTTGCCAATATATGTCTCCATCTGAATGTCGGATGATTTGCTCAATTCCATAAACTGGGAGATGATGAAATAGAGTTGCTGAACATCATTAGTGTAGAGGTTTTTTGCTTCCTCCCATACTTCAGTGCAAGTTTGAAAGGAATAAAAGATATCCAAGACGATCGGATCAATGGATTGCCAGAGGATACTCAGAAGCTGGTTGTCAATCTTTTCCCAATCAGACTTGTCCTCCTTAGGGACATCAGTAGACTTAGTTGTGAGATGGTTCCCATATCCTTGTCCAAAGAACCAAACTCGAACATAGGTGGCCCAGTTCTTGTAATTAACAGATCCCTTCAATTTTGAAGAGGTAATGGACCCAATATTGGTAGAGATGATATTGGGAGAATTTCTCACAGGAAGAGATGGAGACTTGACCTCCGAATGAATTGGAGGGTTTGCTGCCATAGTATTAAATCACAAAGATACAAACCGAATAAAGACAAACGAACCTGATCACCAATCAAGAAGAGGTGCGCACAAAAAGTCAGACCTACAAAGAACCAACCACAGATCCAGAAAGAGGAGGAAAAGACGAGCTTCTCTGTCCAAGACCGGCCAGAAAAAGCCGCCGGAATAGTGCTCACGCGCCGGCAGAAAGTGGCGCGTGAAGCCCACGCGCAGAGAAGACTGGAGGCGCGTGAGAGCGCGTGACAACTCCGATGGTGGCCGGACTTCCACAGAGCAGGTCGCCGGGAGGAGAGGGTTCTGTTCGCGTTCGTTCCAGACTGAAAACTCGCCGGAAAAGTACTCCGGCAGCCTGAACAGTGGCTGACGGTGGCTGATGGTGGCTCCGGTGACTGTTTGGGGATGTGGACACGTGCAGAAGATGCCTGGAGAGGACTTACAGTCCTTGATGTCTTGCTGGAAGGACGCACGGCAAAGAAAAGATGAATCCTAAGCAGTGGGCTTAGGTTTTAAAGTGAAGAACAAGATTTCTAAGCGGAAGCGAGGGTTCCCAGAACGAAATAGCTCTGATACCAAGTTAAATGTAAAAGAATACGTTGTGTATTGATCTGTGTCAGGGAGTTACAATATATAGAGACCCTAATGGGCTTAAGTGTAAGGCCCAAACCTAATCCTAATACAGTCAGAATACAGTCAGACTATTTACGGATAAGACAGAATCCAATCATATCTAATCATATCTAATCATATCATATCTAATATTCTAACAGTATCTTTCATTTGGGTTAATCTACCACCGACTCCAATTAGTTTGGGATAAAGGTGTTGTTGATATTTATATTGATATTGATATTGATGTTGAATTGGCCAATGCATCATGCACACACACGCACACACACCCAGCCAAATGTACAATGTATGCATCCACTTATCAAGGTTTAGATACTTTCATAGCTGAAGAAAAATCCATCAATGACAACTTTATTACATTGTGGAATGTCAAACAGAAGCATGTCTATTTCTAGTTCTCAGATTAACATAGATTCACAGATTATTTTCATATTACTATTCTGCACACATTGATAAAGATGGTGAAGCCAATTCTGAGCATTTTGTCTTTTTGTCAAAGATGAAAAAAATCCCAGGGTTTTATCACCTTCAAGAGAATAATTTTTACCTGACTCCAGCCATGTCTGGCTCAGTTCATTACAAGCCTGCAGTGTGTATAGAAGTCGGTTACACATGAAAATTCCTGAGCAACACTGAATTTGAGATTTTAAATATGTTAAATTATAAATACCTGGTTAACAGCCATTCTTGCTTCATAATTATCTACACAGCTTAGGACAAGATCCACACCACTACCTTGTTTACTGGGGCAAAATGACTTATTTTTCAAAGATGACATAAAGGTTTCAAAACCTTCAACTGTGGTGATATTCAGTGTATAGCTCTGAATGAAAAGGAAAAGGAAATATATCAGCAGGGAAGGAGTTCTTTTTATAATAGAAAAATAAAATAACTAAATTCATCTTATAACAATGAGCCACAGAGGATATGAACACTATAAAATACTTACCTCAAGCACAACATCAGGGTTTATATCTGAAAGAGTTTGTACAGCTGCATCTGTCTTTGTCATACCAACCTGGAAAGCCAAAACACATAAATTCATGGTATGGGACTATGGGTTACGTGAACTTCTGGAAGCTTTTATATGTAAAATATATAATTTGGTCTGCACACAAGCCTGTGAGGTAGCTGCCATCGTCAAATTTTTAAATTTCTATTTTATCTACAACTACAGATAGATTTAAAAATCACTAATGAGAGGAATACAAAAAATCGAAGATTACTCACCTGATCTGGACGAAAGAATAACCTATTCATGTTTGCAAGCTCCACTTTGTCATAATCATACAACAAAAGTCGACCTATACCACATCTAGTTAGCATCTCAGCAGCAACACTTCCAACACCACCTATTCCCTTTGGTTGAGTAAAAATTACATAAAATAAGAATTTATAACCGAAATGAAGTAGAAAAACTCTAAAGAATAAGATAGAGAAACTTTCCAAATATTTTAAAATAGTCAGAACCACCTGTTTGCCTTATCTTTAAAAAGAACAGTCCATTTTAGACAAATACAGTATCTTATACCTTTTATAAACAACGATGCCAAGGCCATAGAAACTCTTTGCACAAACAAATTATCTTAATATTTCCTAACTCATAATAATAAATCCGGGTTAGAGTGGGCATGAAGTGGGTTAATGAGTATAAATCCATGCAGAGCTAGATAGTGATTCTATCTCTTTCGTCAATTGTGGAAAGTAAATGAACATCAAACCTAAATTCTCTAAGCATGAATAACATATGGATTATGGAATATCCACCAATCATAGTAACACAGGTTTGACTCAAGATACTCTTATATGGGGCACTATCTGGTAGCGAATTGGGATTTGGTTCTCGTACATGCCAATAAGGTCTCCCCCATCTATTATGTCAAGTTGGAAAGAAGATATCATACTAAAGGATAACAAATTATGGATCCACAACTTCAATGGCATATAACCCTAAATTCATTTCATAAAAAATACCACCACAAATATAAAAACTATTGATGGTACTTTTAAGTTGTTCCCCGAGATGAATTCGGAAAGTAATCTTTCCTTCTCTTGAAATTCAATGTTCTTCTGCCTTTGAAATTTAATAATCCATTCCAAGATTAAAAGAAACAAGTATTAAAGGACTAGATAAATATGTGTACACCAGTGAGTGAACAGTATACATGCATTTCACATCACAAATTTCATTCTACAGCAGCAAGTAACAGTGCAAAAGGAGATTAATACATACAACTATGGCAATGGAGAAATCCCTTATTCGTTCATAGTTCTCCACAATACCCATTCTCTGAAGCGCCATCAGCCTACTGTACGGATTGCTATCTACAACCTCAGCACTCATATCCTGGCAACACAGTGATAAGAAGAGGAATCGATAAAACTCAAAAACAATAGAAATGGCATCAAAGAAAGACCAACAAAGGAAGGCCCCACTCATAAGCAACTACCTTAACTTTGGAGCGACGAACAGGTTCAGCCTTAGCAACATCAGCAAGATGCTCAACGCGCGATTGAATCTTCAAAACAAAAGATATAAAATCAAGTCAAACTAATTCTAACCACAATACATTATAAATTAATGACACTATTATAAGCTCAATTTAATTTAATTTTAATTTTTTGGTTTCGCGAAGACTAATATTGATTCGCACCTCATTCATTCAGAAAATGCACCATAACAGCATCGGTTAACAGGAAATTTCGTCAAGAGATTAATAAATTAGTGATCCATTGCAAAATGAGAAATGCAGCATTGAATACCTTATGGAGCGAAGCATGGAGAGATGGATCGAGAAGCGATTGGTTGAGAGATTGAAGATCGGCAAGTAACTGTTTGAGCTCAACCTCCATGTCTCTGTTTTTCTTTGGGAATGAAATTAAAATGCTAAATTGAAATTGAAATTGAAATTGAAACTGAAACTGAAACTGGAAATGAAGGTAGTAGCACAGTTTCCTTCACTCTAGTCACGCTTAATTCCGGGTCGGGTCAATTAGGGATGGACCAGGCTCAATTGGGTTGTTAATAAGATCGGGCCGACTTGTTTCACTTAACCCAAACGAGTTGACGAGTTTCACTTTCCCCTTTTAAGGGTATGAATGATTTATGTGTCAATGGCATTATTTGATATGATTTCACTCCTTTACAGACAAATTAATGGTGAGGAAAATAAATATTAAGATGAAAAGCAAGAAAATCGTAACTATTGATTAAGTTATGGATAATTGAGATCACCTTATGTAGAATCATGTGACATGAGAATATTACTCTCATAATATTTAAAACATGGCTTGTTCGATTATTGTTTTGTCCCAGAACTAAGTGAAACAGATTCGTGTTTTAAAATAAAAACAATGGGTTATATTTTGATTTAGCTAATGTTTTATATAATATTTAAAATTTTATAATTTTTTTATAATTAATGGTAAATAATAATTTGCTTTGCATAAATTAACACATCTTACGTACCATGATAATATATTTATGTTAATATAATTTATTTTAAAGTACATATTGTAAAGCATTCATTACTTTTTTTTATGCTTAAAAAAATATGATTTAAATATATATAATGTCTAAATTTGTATGAGTTGTCTAACTCTAACATAATCATGGGAGAGTGACCGTATTGTCACGTTTTCAGAAATTATTACCCTAATTGCCATGTGTTAAAAGAAATTTAGAATGTCGCGGCCAAAGGTGCTACAACCCATAGAATGTTTGGTTTGCCTACGCGTCAGACCATACGTGTTATGCCCCCTAGCACGTTTGGTGGCTGACTGACACATGTCCCCTTTTATTTAAGTAGACTTAAACGTGCTATAAGACATAACAGGTATAGTGTGTATGTCAATCACCCACCAAACGTGTTATAGGCTGTAGCACATTTGGCTGCGTGACACTCTGAAAAATTGTTTTGAACGCCTTGCACTTAAGTAAAATAATTTAAAAAACGTGGCACTATGATCACTATTCCCATAATCATTAATCAAGCTACCAAATTAGATTTTGAGTTCAAATAGGACTGACAATTTTCAACACAACATGAAAAATTCGTGATTGTGTTGACTTGTTTTCAAATTTGTATCGTGTTTGGGTTGACAAAAATTGATCCGAAATTTTTTTATGGTATCGTTTGTTAACCCGGCAACTTAATTGTGTATATTCTAATTGAAAAATAGAATTAAATACAAATATAAATTAATTTCAAATATTGTTTGAGTTTACTATATTTATTTTATTAATCTATATAAATAAAAGTTAATTGTGTTTAGGTATCATATAACAAAAAAAAAAAAAAAAAAAAAAACTTTTAACAAGTATTATACGTTAGCTGAAATTATATTAAATTAAATATTAGTGAAATAACTTATTCTAATCTTTGTAAAGTTGATAACTAATATATGATGCAGTTGGCTGTAAATAATGACCACTACATTTTTACTTGTTTTCTTTTTCTATGAAATAAACAAAATAATTGTATTATCCAACAACAACAACAACAAAACAAAATAATTGTATTTGTCCGAACAATTAGGCGCAAATTTATGTTCGAAAAGAAATAAAGGACTATGCTACTTTTACCAGTATCAGCCTAAGCCTGTCCTATGGACCACTATGTTGATGCTATTGCTGACATGTTTTATAGAAAGAGAGAGGCTATATATGGATTCGGCAATTAACTGTTGGACAGGAAAAAAGTTCAAAGATAAATGGTAATAACAAGGTCCAGACTCACTCAACATGAAATTATAAGGCCCATTGCGTGAGTCGCGCCACACTCCATTAGGAGCTGAGTCTGCAACGAGACCTGATCATGGACTAGCTACGAGCTTTAGGTCTGTTTAATTTCTGTTTTTAAAAATAGTTTTTTGATTTTTAGAATAAAAAATAAAAAAATATGTTTAATAAGACTTATTTTATAAAAATAGTTTTAAAAATTATAATTATTTCAGTTATTTTTTATTTTATGTTTTAATTTTTAATTTTCAAAACATAAAAAACACATATTTTATTAACTATTTTACAAATCAGTTTAAAAAAACAAAAGAGTAAAGACCCAAATTGGTCCCTGACAAAAAATGCGGTGGCCAAATTAGTCCCTAAGAAAAATAAACTCAAAAAAAAGTCCCTAACGATGTCAAACAGGTCCCACATTAGTCTTTCTGTCAAATGAAAATTGACGGAGTAAGTGACGGTGCTGATGTGTCACGTTAAGTGACATGCGGTTGCCCACGTGGAGTGCGTGGACGACGTCGTTTGGTACAAACTCAACCACTTGGACAACCCTTTTTTCTAAAACCCAATTTTGCCCCTCACCTAACCGTTGGACACTTTACCTTTTCCCCCTCTTCTAACATCGACACTTCATCGTTGAGAAGGAAGGAAGAAGACCGTCCATTAAACCCTGGTGCTTGCGTTTAGAATATTGCCAACTTTTTCCATAATCAAAGGGAACCAGTGGAAGAAAGAAGGGCCATATTTGGATACTTTGTGAGGCTCAGCATTCCGTTGAAAAAGGTATGAGTATTTATAAGTTGAAACATTTTTATATTGTTGTTTGTCATCCTTTGTTTAATGTTTGTGGTCCCCATGTTGTTCCCCTTTGTTTAATGCACGAAGTGGAACATTGTGGTCCATGTTTCCATTTAGGGTTTTGTTTTAAAAGAAAGTAACAACCAGGTGGTGTGGTCCCTGCCATGGTTGACCCATTTAAAAACATTTAAAAACCCTATGTTAATCGTTGGAATACATGTCTGCATCCATAAAAAAAGGTTTCTTTTTTTATTGCTTTGTATTGTTTAACACTTTCAAAGCATGTGGCTTCATGATTTAATAATAGGATTGGTTTTTTGGTTTTGACAGATGTCCGAATACATAGTTATTGTCTATCACCATGGTGGTATGTTTATCAGAGATGAAGATGGAGTGATGACCTATATATATGGAAGGGTGGACTCATTGCCGGAGATGGACATTGACTACTGCAATATCCGTGACCTTGACACCCTGTTTAAGCAATATGGATATGAAAAATACAAGAGGATGATGTGGCTACAGCCTGGGGTACCCGATTTGGATCTGGGGCTGAGACCTCTTAGTACAGATTCATATGTGTGTGCTATGTGTGAGGCTGCTTTAGGGAATGACAATGAGATACATGTCTACTTTGAGGGCTGCATCTCAATTCCCCAGTTTGCTTCACCTACACATGACAGTGAAGAGGATAATATCATTAATTTAGCACATAATGAGGACCATGAAGAGGTTGATGATGAGGTCGGTTCACATGAAGGTTGTGCACAAGGTGATGTTGGGGTCAAAGAAAATGAAGACCATGCACAGGCTGCTGATGACCTTAGTGCACAAGGTGATGATGAGATGAATTTGGATGAAGACCATGCACAGGCTGCTGATGACCTGAATGCAGAAGGTGATGATGGGATCAATTCGGACCATGATGAAGACAGTGCAGATGATGTTGGTTATGGGTCTGAAGAAGACAATGCAGATGATGACCATGCTACCTCACACTCAGATTCATATGAAAGTGCAGAGGATGAGGTTTACAAGCTTCCCCCACCTGGTGTTGAGGATGATTCAGAAGATGATGATGATGATATGTCAGTGCCAATTGTAGAGAAAGAAAGGCCTACAAAACAAACCCCAAGGAGGAAGGCAGTCAAGAAGGATGCCCCAATACAAGACTCTGAATCTGAAGAAGTTGATAAAGAGGAAGCCATGATGTCATTTGAGGAAGAAGGATATACCTATCTGTCCGAGGAGTTGAGGACTCCTCCTTCAAGTGATGATGATGAGAATGTTAGACCTGTTATGCCAAAGTTCAATGAGCAAGCTTCTTTTGGGCATGTCTATTTAGAACTTGGTATGGAGTTTATAAATCTGGACCAATTTAAGGGTGCAGTAAAAGATTACAATATCAGTCTTGGGAGGAACTTCGTATGGGTTAAGAATGACAAGATGAGAGTAAGGGCCAAATGCAGTGTAGAAGACTGTGAATGGATGGTGTATTGTGCCTGGAACAGTAAGCAAAGCACATTCCAAGTTAAGACTTTTAAAGAGACTCATACATGCTGCAGAGTCTTCAAGAATAAAAGGGCTACAAGAGATTGGGTGGCCAAGAAATTGGAGCAGAGAATAGTAACACAGCCCAAGATGACAAGGACAGAGGCATTTGAGCACATGAAGGAGGAATACAATGTGCATTTGGATCTGAAGAAAGTAAGTAAGGCTTTGAAAAAAGCAAAGGGGACCATTGAAGGTTGTGAAAAGGAGAAATATGGAAGATTAAGGGAATATTTGGTAGAACTATTGAGGAGCAACCCTGGCTCCAGTTGCAAATTGCAAGTCACCCCCCAACCTATTCCACAATCATTGCCAATATTTGACAGAATGTACATCTGCCTTGATGCTTGTAAGAAGGGATTCAAAGCTGGATGCAGGCCCTTAATTAGGTTGGATGGATGCTTTTTGAAGGGCTATTATGGAGGTCAATTATTGAGTGCTGTGGGTGAAGATGCAAATAAACAATTCTATGTGATTGCATATGTCGTGGTTGATAGTGAGACGAAGGACAATTGGAAGTGGTTTCTGACATTATTACAGGAAGATTTAGGGGACCATGCAGTATTATGTTTGCCTTGTCGAATGATGTTTAATAACCTTAACTAGTCCCCCACAAATATCATCGAGGACCATTTTAGTCCTTGTTCTTTAACAGAAGGGACCATTTTGGTCCCTAACAATTTTATCGGGGGTACAAATTGGTCCCTACAACAGTTCTTTTAATATGGTCACCTAAAAATCCAGCACTGTAAATTTCCCTTATACATGCTAATATTATTCATGCTGATTTGAGATTGTATTTTAATTTTTATTCACTG